CTAATGTTTTTCCAGAATTTCATTTATATTAATCCAAAAGGAATAAATATAATACTATTTTTTTATATACAGTATGTGGAATGCAGACACACACACACATAGGCTGAGTGTTTTACTGGTATTAGGGAGGTGTTGTTCTGAGTACTTGAGTGCTCTTTGACTTATTTAATTTTTTAGACAGCTACTATTCATTTAAGGATACCCCATTTATGACTCTTCCATTGAATTTTTTAATTCCATAAGAGGAGGGATTCTGGTTGTTGTTTTTTTTCCAGTTGGTACAGGAAGTTGACATATCAATGCTAGTTATAGTGTGAACAAGTGCACTTCTCAGGTCACTGGTTTTTCATGCAGAGATGAGAGATTTGTAAATATTTTTTCTTTCATGCTGAACAGGAAGAAAAGAAGGAGCTGTGATATGTGCATGTTAATTTGTGATCTTATTCACATATGGCAATATAATTGGCAGTACATTGTGTGATTTAAGCACACTTTTCACAGAGAGGTCAACACAAATTCAATTGAAATAAAAAGTAACTGAGGTAAAGAATGTCTGCCCCTTTAAACATTGAATCAATATTTATAGCTATATAGAGAAAAGGTGAGAAAGAAACAAATTTTGCCCCTCTACCTTTCTTCTTGTGACACTTATGTATTTGATACCCCAAGGAAGAGGTTACAGCTAGAATTCTAAATCAAGAACAGACCCAAGGACAAGACTATGATAAGAGGTACCAGTTGGAGTCAATATTTTGAAATAAAACTGTGCACTTATCAGAGCTGCAGACCAGAGAGGAAAGCTGAGAAGAACCAACGAATGGAGGGCTATATCAGGGAACAATTAAGAGATAAGAGGAGACAGGGACCAATTAGAGCAATTGGCTACCTGAGATATGGTGAATACCCAGCTAGCAAAATAAAGCCAATGAGAGAAGAGATCTGGTAAGTTGGAAACCACTAGGAAACACTGGGGATTTCATTGCCATCGATTCACCTGGAGGAGGCTGGGGGTCAGAACTATTGAAGGAAGGGCCAGGAGAAAAGGGGATTCACTTGAGAGCCCAGAAAGGATGCCTGAAGAACTGGAGGATAAGAGATGCTAAGTAAATAGGGAACAAATGAAAAAAAAAACCTGTTACAAAGAGCTTCCCAAAACTCCATACACCCAATGGTTACCCAATGGTTTACAAAAGCTTTGTTATTTTTTCAAGAACCAAAGATCTTCATTCTATTTTGAGAAGGCTAACTTGTTTAAACTGTGATAATTGATGCACCTAAGAGAAGGGCTAAGTTTTAGTTTAGGTTTATAAAGTACGTTTGATGAAAATGCAGCATATAGTGTTTGTGGGGTTTTTTTGATCAACCTAATGAAGAGTTGCAGGAGCTGAAAGAAGAGGTTACATCAAGAATTCTAGATCAAGAACAGACCAAAGGACTATCTTATGACCTCATTCTTAGCTCCTGAAACTCTTCATTAGATTGGTCACAAAATAAAATGCATATTATTATATGTTATTCTGAAATTTATATGATTTGTTATTTAACATTGTGTAATACTTTTACCCATTGAGTTGAGAAAATTTCAAAGTCCTGAAATCAGATGGGGTTCCTCTAGACTTTGAAAAAAACTGCCAGCATGTTGTATGTTTATGTGAAATCCGAATCAAAGAGGTTGCCATAGACCCTTCACTGTGAGTTTTATGCCATTTTTACAATGGCCAAAACTAGCATAATAATTTATGTCATGAGTCAAATGGTCTTTCAAAGGGAATATTTCCATTTCATTTAAATTTAACATGCTTTCAGAAGTGACCCAAGAAAGACTGTAGAAATACAAATGGAATTTTACAGTTAAGAACAATTTGTATAGTCGTTGTTTTAATAACTATACCTTAATGATCACTATATACTTTATCATAAAACCATGAACTTTAAAAATTAGATGAATTAATATAAAAAAAAATTAGTCTCGCAAGAATATAACAAATTCTGCTAAATATTTTAATGCCAAAGATGGGAAGTAAGAAAATTGAGTTTCTGAACAAGCTGTGCATTGTTTACCTGCAGCCAGGCAGCCCTCAAAATGTGAAATATTTTTTCCTTCCTTTGAAAATATTGAAAAAATCAGTTCAAATCTGTTCCTTATGATCAAATGCCTACTGATTAGTTTAAGTGAGAGGCAAATACCTCAGCATAAATGGGAAAAAGTTTTTAAAGTACTTTTTGATCAATACAGAGAAATAACCATAAACAGTGATTATTAAAACTGAATTCCAATATAAATACATATATTTTCCGTTATGACCAATTGTGAGTTTCGTTTCTTGAATCTCCTGTGGTTCTCCTGTGGTGTAGTTGAGAAAGTCCAGTGGAGTTTTGCTGTGAACTTTGTGAGGGAAGTATTTACAGTTGAGCCTACAAAGCCATTCAGTCATCTGGGGCATCTGCAAAACTGAGGTTTGATTCTTTTCCCGACAGCAATTTAACTAGTGTCCCAATTAAATCTATTTTAACACTATTTCTATTATTCAACTTACAAATATGTACCAACATATCAGGACCTAGAACAGGTATCAGGGCAGAGTACAGAATGAAGAGTGGTAAATTCACAATGAACAATGATAATAATGAGAGGAAGATAAAATTTGTATGGGTAGAAGATCTTTTTAAGTACTCAAAATTATTTGAAGAGGGGTTGTTTTTTAAAATAGCAGTTTTATTTCAAAACTTTCATCCGAGGATGATGACTACTCAGCACCAGAGGAAAAATAAAAAATAAGATCTGGGATTCTGTAAATAAGGAACAGATTATACTGGCTTAGATCATTCTGCTGATGGCTTCCTTCTATTTTTTTTTTTTTGAATGTTCAGAAAAGAAAACTTCAAACAGAACTGTGTCTTCCTTTTACCTTCCAAAAGAGAAAGCGTAAACCTACACATTATAAAATGTATATTATACCTTACTTGAGACACAGTTTCCACAGAAAATAATGTATTATTAAAATAATTATCAGAATGCATAAAGTATTTTTCTGAAGCTAAACAGACGACAACATTTGCAAACTCTTTTCATCCATCTAGTAGAAATGGAATTAAGTGTTTAAAGGCTATGCAGAAACATAGTGGCAATGGGGCTTACACTAAATTTTTGGTGTCATGTGGTCCACATGCTGATACCATTGCCCTGATCTGTCCTCAGACAAAAGAGTTGCTGACTGGTTGACTTGTACTTACACAGAAGACTGTGGCTCAGCAGTAAAGAGGGCACAAGTCTAATCTTTTCTGTGCAAAGCAAGACATTGTGCTTGATTTGTTTTGAAAAGAGAGCCAGGTAGGCCACCTTAGTGAGAGACGATTCAGAGATCTTTGTTTACAGTGGAAGAAACAGTAGGCCTTCTCTCCCCTTGCCTCCTTTTATTCCTGCCTTCTCTCTCCACTCTTCACTGATGGCTAACCTACAAAGATGCTACAGGTAATCCAACACAGAGGTTTTTTTTCTTGCAGTGTTCAGCTTTCACAGACATAGGCCCACACAGACAGCCACTCTATTCTTTGACTCTGGAGGCAGATCAACAGCCCAGAGACTACAGTCTTACATGACCTAGAAGCTTGTACAATGCACATTCACACCACCGCCAGTGATTCATAGATTCATGGATATTTTAGGTCAGAAGGGACCATTATGATCATCTAGTCTGACCTCCTGTACAACGCAGGCCATAGAATTTCACCTACCACTCCTGCAAAAACCTCACACCTATATCTGTGCTACTGAAGTCCTCAAATCGTAGTTTAAAGACCTCAAAGAGCAGAGAATCCTCCAGCAAGTGACCCGTGCCCCATGCTACAGAGGAAGGCAAAAAACCTCCAGGGCCTCTTCCAATCTGCCCTGGAGGAAAATTCCTTCCCGACCACAAATATGGTGATCAGCTAAACCCTGAGCATATGGGCAAGATTCATCAGCCAGATACTCCAGAAAATTCTTTCCTGCGTAACTCGGATCCCACCCCATCTAATATCCCATGTGATGTGAGTGAACTAGTACAGAAAAGTATTTTAATCACCCTGGCAAGAAGACAACTCAACAGAAGACAGGTGGGGAAGCAAAGCACAGACATGGCAGGGAGGAGGAGGCTGATGAAAGGCACAGGGAAGTGGGGAAAGGGGAGGAATAAGAACTCACCCTAAATAATTAATTAAACTAATCAAGAGGTGACAGTGAGCTACATCCATATCTTAAGAAGTATGCTAAAACTGCCTCATTAGGACAGTGTTTCCCAGCCAGTGGGATTGTCTTTTCCTTTGGATGGTCAGCTATTCCATGCAGTGATGGGTAGGGGAGAAAGGGGTAAACAGCAAGACCTCAAATCTGCTCACCCCAAACTAGAGATATATTCCTGGAGCTGTAGGTAAAGCAACAAGTAGTTCAGTGAAAGCCAAACCAATATCCATCCCCACTTTCATGTTGTTGCTTAATGCAGCTGGCCCTGAGAGCAATTAACATGTACCAGATTGAAGGCTCAAGAAGCAGACTAATCACCCAAGCTTCTCAACTTCCCTCCTGTAACTCTCAACCCTGGGTACATACATGACCTGCTCCTATAGAGCCACTCCACTCTGATACACTGAACAGCATGTAGCCTTGATGAGGAGTTGGATTCACTGGAGAAGGAGAAAAACATAAAATCTAAACCCAAAACAACAAAGTAGAAAGTAAAAAATAACCAACCCACCCAAACCCCCAAGACACTAAAAATAAGGAAGAAAAATGAAGAGATCAAGAGAGAGAGAGACTGGACAGGAAAAGGGAGAGATGACATTTGGGACACTGGGTCTGCCAGGCAGCTATCTGCAAATCCATCAAAGGGGGGACGCCAACAAAAGAAACACATCATTAGAGGTTTTTAATTTGATCAAATATTTAATCAGCTTCTGAGGTCACAAATGTGAGGATCTGTAACCCAATAATATGAATTGCTTCATAGATATTCCTTCCCGACAGAAAAAGAAGAATATTTTTTACTAAACTGTTCTTTATAGCAAAATGTATATTTTATTCCTGAAGCCTAGAATTAGCAGTTATTTAAACATTTTATATTGACAGTGTACAGCATTTACTACTTTAAGGACATAAGATATTACATGATGAAAATACAGTTTGATAAGAGAAATATTACCTTGTCAATGGACTGTGATTTCTTTCCCATAAACTTATTTCCATGTTTAAAGCCTGAATATTCTGTTCTGTAGAATACAGATTTTTAGTCCATTGTAAAAGCTGTTCTTTTGATTGCTCCAGCTCTTTCTGCAGCTTTGCTAATGTTTCATCATAAAACTCAACCTTTGAACAAAAGAAGAAATATTAAATCAATGCTTGCAGCAAATCTCAGTGGTCATTATCCGCTCTTCTTGTAGGAAGGACATTTACCTATTGCCTAATGAACAAAAGCAAAAATATAAGTCCAAAAAATAAAAAGCACATGAGATCTTACTTTGTAATTTCTGATCTAATGTCTTAAACTTACAATTTCTTCTGTATACAAAATTGTGTTTACATATTAATAAGCTATGTTACCCTCTTTCCTGCTTTTAACAAAAAACATGTATTTGAGAAATTCTAACGTATCTTTGGCGGTAAATGTGAATGTTGATGAATAAAAGGTTGGGTTTTCATTTATAGCTCAGGTACTTTAATGTTGTGCATACAAATATTTTGCTATCCATATTTCAAGATTTTTCCAGACTTTTCCATTAGCATATTAGATTTAAAGTAAACTAAGCTAGCTTCAATATCTCTCTTCATCACCAAATATTACAGACTAAATGCAACTCCAGTGTTCTCTTATGTGTCAAAAGGTATAAAATACTTTCTCGTTCCCCAGAAAAACAACAGCCAGCACAAAAATTATGAAGATTTTTGTGACAGTTGTTCTAAATTGTACTGGAGAATTTCTTTAAAGTCAGAAAATGAAGCAACAGTACAATTCACATTATGTTTTTATAAGTAGGAGACTTTTTTCAAAGAAAAGACTGACCACTATCTATTTATAGCCAAGAAGTTTCTATGTATATGGAAATTATATATAACAATTAGATGATTCGTACGGATAAGTTTCTGAAACCACTTCCTCAGCTGTATGGTCACTAGATCTCACGTTTGATCTAGGTGTTTGCAAAGATATGTGTAAGTTATACCCATATGCTGGCCAGATCTCCAGGCCTAGAACAAGGGAAGAAGGTCAGAATGGTGCACACCTGAGTTTTGTGGGAGCCTAAACACAATTTTCTCAAAGGGGCTTCTAACATCCTTGCATCATCTCTCACAAGTAGGCAAATTAAATATCCAAGTACAAGTTTTGCATGGTAGTACTCTTTATAAATCATCATGCTTGGGTTTTGTGATTACTGTTGTATAAATAAGGAGGTGTTCTCTTAACTTCTAGATTTTTCTGGAAACTCCATTTGAACCGCTAGTCAAAAATCATGATGCATGAATTTACAAAATGCATCAGATTCTCCATGTTTCAGTTAACATAGACCTAAAATTCTAAACTAAAGGATAAGCAAAAAGGGTACTCAACATGACAGGAGAAATAGTGGAGGTATGAATATGTAATTATTCAACAGTACTTTTACAAACTTTTGTTTACATAAAAGGAAATTGCATGTATCTTTCCACAGATTCCCATCACCTATTCTGGAAGAAAAAAGTTCTAGAGGAATGCTAAGATGCTAAAGTTCTTAAGGGAAATGTAGACATTTCAAATATTTGAAGATGCAGACTTTAAATAGTGGAAACAGAATTCCTTATTGATAATTTCCTTTCTGCTACCAGTATCTCCCATAGTTCTGGATGTCTGGGCTGCTCTCCTCTCTGCAGCTTCATGGAGACAGATCAGCATTTTGGCTTTGCGCACTCTGGCCACACCCTCTCTGCTCCACCTTGCTGCCAAATGAGTTATTCCCAGCTGTAAAACTTGCATACCACTATTACCAAAATATTCCAGAGACAATAAAATAACTATGTTCATTAGACCCAGGAAAACCAATCCTATGGTAATGATTTCACTTAATTTCTGGTGTTCATGAGCCATCTCGAGTGGGTAGAATTGCGGGGGATGTTGCTAGAAGAAAGGAAATTATCATTAAATTTTCTTATTCTGGAGCCCAACATCTCCCACAAATCTGGACATCTGGGAAGTAGTGAGCAATGAACAAATAAAGGGAAGTTTATCAAAACAAGAGTTTGTAAATAAATACCCCCCTTTTTATGACCTCGCTCCAAGAACTATATTATTTCTGGCCTACCACCTGCAGTACCTTGCTGACTAAGGAGGCCTCTGCAGAAGATAGAAGGTCCACCTTGTGGGGTTTAATGAAAGTGTTAGCTGTAGACCAAGTGTCCGCTTTGCAAAATTCTCAAGTAGACGCACTACCTTTTTCCATCCCTGAGGCAGCAAAGAATCTCATGGAGTGTGCCTTGATCCCTTCCGGGACAGGAACCCCTGATGATTTGTAGGCTTCCATGATACACTGTCTAATCCATCTAGTGATGGAGGACTTGGAAGCTCTGAGTCCCTGGCACTTTGGGGAAGGACACAAATAGGGAGCCCAATCTTCTTGTGGAGCCTGTACACTTGAGATAGATTTTCAATGCTATTCTGACATCTGCCACCCTTTTCAGTTGTATGTTGTAGTTTTGGACAGAGTGAAGGAAGCACAACATCTTGGGAACTGTGGAAGAAGCAAGTCACTTTAGGAAGAAAGGATTCTGGTGTCCTGAGCACCACTTGTCTTCATGGCACACACGGTAAGGCTCTCATATACATAAGGCTGCCATCTCCGACACTCACCTGGAGACCTGACAGCTACCAAGAAACAATCTTAATGGATAAATAAAAAGCCAACACTTAAGGGATGGCTTATCAGGGCCATCAAAACTAGCAGAAGGTCCCATTTTTGAAAGAGTAGCCTAGTCAAACTGCTCAAAGGAATCATGCTAGTTGTGGATTGTCTCCCAAGGAGTCTGAGGATCCTGCAAATAGCACCTGATGCACAATGATACTGGGATGAAGACCTCTGTCTAGGCTTTCTTGGAGAAAATCCAGAATGGATGGAATTCCAGGATCTCTGGAATTTGCATTTTGCTCTTGGCACCATTTGTTGAATCTGGATCAGATAGAGAGGAGTATGCTTTTAGTATCAATATCTTCCTAGAATAAAGCTATGTCTGGATGACTCTTGAGGACAGATAGAGACCTGCCAGCACTTCTCACTCAATAGTCAGGCTATCAGTTGAAGCCATTTTGGGTCCAGATGAAGAAGAGGACCTTGTGAGAGGATGTCTGGTCTTCACAGAAGTTGAAGTGGGGGCCCCAGTGTCAGCTCTATAAAGTCTGAGAACCCAGGCCTCCTTGGCCAATGAGGAGTTATCAGTATTACTGTCATTTGTTCTCATCTTATTTTCTGGATCAAATTCCCCAGTAGTGGTAATGGTGGAAAAGCATAAAGTAGGTCCTGCAACCAACTGTGCAATAAGGCATCTGTCCCTGGGGATCTGGGGTCTGCCTCCTCTGTGAAGTATTTACAGGATGGGAGACTCTATCCTCAGGTCAGTGACTCTGAATAGGATTTAGGTGAAATAGCTGATAATCAGCTGAACATGAGCTCCAAGTGCTATACTGTGGCTATAAGGTCTAATGCTATCCTTAGATGTATAAACAGGAACATGGAGTCAGAGTAGAGAGATATTACCTCTGTATTCAGTACACTTTCACACTGTATTTTATACTTCTAGAAGGATGCTGAAAAACTGGAGAGGATTCAAAGAACCTCAGGGATGGTTAAAGGACTGGAAAGCATGCCTTATGGTGAGAGTCTCAAGGAGCTCAATCTAGTTAGCTAATCAAAGAGAAACTTAAGAAGTTTATTTGAAGTACTGATATGGGGTCCACAAATTGATAATAGAGGGTTCTTCAAAGTATCAGACAAAGGTATAAACAAGATGGTTGGAAGTTGAAGCTAGACAAATTCAAGCCAGAAATAAGGTGCAACTTTTTAATTGTGAGAGTAACTAACCATTGGGATGTCTTACCAAGGGCTGTGGTGGATTCTCCATCACTAGAAATTTTGAAATCAAAATTGGATGTTTTTCTAAAAGACATGCACTAGATTAATCACAGCTATTGGACTTGAAGCAAGCATTAATTCAGAGAAATCTTATGGCTTGTGTTATGCAGAAGGTCAGACTAGAGTATCACAATGTTTCCTTTTGGGCTTAAAAATCTATAAATTATTATAATCTTCTGTAACTAAGCAATATTTATGTCTGGCAGTTAAAAGCTCCATTTGAATGGATTCAGATGGGCCAAAAGGTTCTCATATTCAAACTGCAAAGTCCTTTCTATTGAACTCCTTGCAACAAGGAAAGATGACATAAAAGACCGCTTTAGAAATGACAAAGTCTTCCATCTATACTTCCATGCTTTGCTTCCGAAAGATCAAAGTTGGGCAGGCTAAAAACTTAATGGGACTGGCTGCTTCCAACAGCAAAAGAAACATGATTTGTCTCAGACAAAAGGGGATCCAATATTTATAAATGTAGGTATTGTGACAAAGCTCTGTCCTTTTCTCCGTGGGTCCTGCATTTCCTGGCGGATTTCGTTAGCCTCAGAGGCTCACTGTGACCCTCCACGTAACCCTTCTTTCTCTAGCGACAAGGGTCACAGTCTACAGAGCCATTTTCATCATAAGCCAGCAAGGGAGGTGAGGAGAAGCTATCCTCCCTTGCACGGTCTCTGTTGTCTCCCAGTCTCAGTGATTAATCGGGGCAGGGGCAAAGGGGGGAGCCCGGGCCTACCCTCTATTCCGGGCTGCAGCCCAGGGACCCTAATAGTATCAGCTATGGTAGCTGAGCTTTTAGAAACATGACATGTACAATTCCCTGGGCTACTTCCCCACAGCAGTCCCCACTTCCTCAGGCTCCACTTCACCCTTAACTCAGGACCTCCTTCCTTGTGCCTGATATGGTGTGTACTGCTCAGTCTCTCCAACAGCACAACTTCCTCCCACAGCTCCTGACATCCGCACCCACCTGACCAACTGGGAAGCTTTTAGCTAGTTTCAGCCAGTCCCTGATTGGTGTCCCAATCAACCTAGCATTCTCCCTGCCTTCTGGAAAGTTCTTAATTGGCCCCAGGTGTCTTAACTGACCTGGAGCAGCTGCCATTTAACTTATCCTGGTACTAGGGATTTGTTTAGCCTGGAGCTAATATATCTATCTCCCACTACTTTTCTATAGCCATCTGGTCTTGCCCCGTCACAGTATGCTATGGTACATTC